GAGGGCGCTTAGTGTTTAGTGAAAAGAGAGGGTGCTTAGTGTTTAATGACAATGGAGGGTGCTTATCTTTAGTCTAGAGTCCTGCTCAAGAGTATACCTTGACGTGGTGGCAGGCTTCATAATTTTTGGCCCAAATATTTTTTCTTATTTTCAAATATTGACTGCACGGATGACTTGGAATACACATTTCAACTTCATATACAGTGGTACCTCGGTTCACGAACGCTTCTGTTCACGAACAATTTGGTTCGCGAACATGAAGTTCGGAAAAAGTTTGCCTTCGAACTCTGCATTGGGTGATAAACACGATCGCGACCATCTTTGTACTCGAGATCGCACACTGTGCACACTTACTGTGAAGCTTTTGCTGTGCAGTATTACTGTATTCAATCCAGCATGACTCCCAAGAAAGTGCAGAGAAAGCATGGTGGGAAAAAGAAAGTGCAGAGCATTAATGAAGATGACAAGAACGTGCGGAGTGTTAATGAAGATGACAAGAATGTGCAGAGCGTTAATGAAGGTGACAAGAACGCGCGGAGCGTTAATTAAGGTGACAAGAATGTGCAGAGCGTTAATTAAGGTGACAAGAATGTGCAGAGCATTAATGAAGGTGACAAGAATGTTCAGAACATTAATGAAGGTGACAAGAATGTGCAGAGCAAGAATGGTGGTAAAAAGTAGACATGTGCACTGCCAAAAAATTTGTTTAGTTTCGTTTTAAAATCGGATTTGTGTTATTTCGTTTTTCGGGATTCGGGTGTGAAAGCCAATTCGGATTCGGACGAAATTCGTTAGCTGTAGTTAGTTCGAACGTTCGTTTCGTTTTCGTTTCCTATTCGTTTCGTTCATGCGTTTGTTCGTTTGCAGCAAAGTGACATTTGAGGGGGAAAAATGTTTTTCTTCAACGAACGAAACGAATAAGAAACGGAAACGAACTAACTACCGCTACCGAATTTCGGAAACGGAAATTCGGATTCGTTTGCATTCATTATATCTGTAATTTGGAATTCGTATACATCCGAATGTCCGAATTTCCGAAAATTCGTCCGAATTTCGATTCGGAACGAAACGAATCGCACATGTCTAGTAAAAAGAAAGTGCAGAGCAAGAATGGTGACAAGAAGGTTTTGAAGAAAATAACCATTGAATTGAAGAAGGAAATTGTAGAAAAGCATGATCGTGGTATTTGTGTGACCAGTGGCGACTCTAGGAACCATATATGCGTGAGAGCAATTGCTGCGACCCTGGTAGTTCTGGTACTGACTCCTGTCAGCTGTATAGGGACTACAAATCTCAGCAATACATTATACAGCAATGCAGAATACCACCAGCTAGAGGAGACAAAGAGGGAGATTGTGGACGGCGTTGGATTACATGTCACAACTGCCAGGCGGTGGGAACTGGTTTAATTGCGACATGTAGTCCAATGCCGCCCACAATCCTGAACACCACAACCGCCGGGTGCCGATGCCATCCGCAACTAAATTAGCTCTTGGCCCCCGTCAGTTGCGGCAGGGGCTGACTGGCAACTTTTGGCCTAGGGGGCAAGTACAACCAAGAGGCCCATGGTGCAGCAACTTGCCCCCCCCCCACTCTCTGTCCTCCTCTCCCTCCCCGCCACCTGCCACTTTCTCCATCCATGTAATGGTAGTGTGAATGGTTAGGTGATGTGAGGACTCACCAGGAAGTCCATAAAAGCGGTGGCTGGCCAGGGGATGCCACTCTCCTCCCGCTGGGCACCCTACATGGCTCCAGCCTCCCTCTGCTTCATGTCCGGCACTTAGGCACTCCCACCTGCTGTAGACCACCACTGGCTGTCCGGACTTATGGGCTGTGACCTGTGGGAGGAGAATGGGAATAGCCGGACAGTACATATAACTATAGTTTTTCTTGACCCCATCAAATTTCTTGACATTGTCACTTCTGTTGTGGCTATGTTATCTGAATCAGCTTCTTTTCTGATGCCCTTTCTTTAGGTGCATGCGCACCTGGAAGTGACATAGTCGAGAAATGTTATGGGTAAAGGAAAAGTACAGCACGGTGTGGTGGAGTGATTCCTCATCACTGCTGTGCGTGAGAGCAATTGCTGCGACCTTGGTAGTTCTGGTACTGTCTCTTGTCAGCTGTATAGGGACTACAAATCTCAGCAATACATTATACAGCAATGCAGAATACCACCAGCTATAGAAGACTACACATTTTAGCAATTATTCTTCAGTAATGCTTCTGCATTATTCTTACCACCAACTATAGAGGACTACAAATCTCAGCAATGCAGAATACCGACAACTATAGAGGACTACAAATCTCAGCAATATATTATACAGTAATGCAGAATACCAACAGATATAGAGGACTACAAATCCCAGCCATACATTGTACACCAATGCAGAATACCAGCAGCTATAGAGCACTACAAATCTCAGCACAACAGTGCAGTAATGCAGAGTGCAGAGTCAGTAATGTAACGCAGAGTGTGGAGGTCAGTTGTAAAGCAGAGTGCAGAGGTCCGCAGTGCATGTAACGCATAGTGCGGAGTTCAGCGGTGCGTGTGACGCAGAGTGTGGAGGTCAGTAATGTAACACAGAGTGCGGAGGTCAGGTGTGCATGTAACGCAGAGTGCGGTGGTCAGCGGTGCATGTAACGCAGAGTGCGGAGGTCAGCGGTGAGTGTAACGTAGAGTGCAGAAGTCAGCAATGCATGTAAAGCAGATTGCGGTGGTCAGCGGTGCGTGTAACACATAGTGTGGTGGTCATCGGCTCGTGTGACGCAGAGTGCGGTGGTCAGTGGCACGTGTAATGTGTAACGCAGAGTGCGGTGGTCAGGGGTGCGTGTAACGCAGAGTGCGGTGGTCAGGGGTGCGTGTAACGCAGAGTGCGGTGGTCAGGGGTGCATGTAACGCAGAATGTGGTGGTCAGGAGTGCATGTAACGCAGAGAGCGGTGGTCAGCAGTGCGTGTAACGCAGAGGGCATTGGTCAGGGGTGCATGTAACGCAGGGTGCAGAGGTCAGGGGTGCGTGCAACGCAGGGTGCGTTGGTCAGGGGTGCGTGTAACGCAAGGGGCGGGGGTCAGGGGTGCACTTAACGCAGGGTGCAGAGATCAGGGGTGCGTGTAACGCAGGGTGTATCGCAGATAGAAAAGGTAATTACAGTGCTGATGTGCTCTGTCCACTGCCCTCTTCTTCCTCTCTGGGTGGTGGTGGTGGGGAGCATCAATGTTTATTAGAGGTTAATCCCCAAAACGGGAGGACGCTAGTTTGTGTCCTCCCGTTTCCCTAAGGAGAACTATGGGGAAAAGCCTTAACCCCATAGTTCTCCTTTAAGTTAGCCTATTGAAAAAAAATGTCAACCTTGAGATTTACCTATTTATTCATTGTTGTCATGACTTCTCTTTTTTCTCTTTGGGAAATTGAGGTACTCACTCTAAAATAGGCTCTTTATAGACCTGAATTACAAACAACACTCACAAAATAATATTTAAAATAATTTTTTTTATTATCATCCACAGATGTATAAAAGAGTTATAGAACCACTAGGTGCATTGTGTTGCTATTTATTTGAATGACACCCGTATGCACCTGGCACGTGTGCATTGTAGCACAGCACAATGGGCAGCACATGCAGCTGTAATGCAAGGCCACTGGAATTGGGTGCCATTTAAATGAATGGCAATGCACCTAGTGCATGGTACTGCAGTTTAGTTTTGCTGTGCACAGGGCTGCCATCAGGGGGGTACGGCCGATACTCATGTAAGGGGCCCAGTCAGCCTGGGGTGCCCGCCCGGACCCTTACACGAGTATCGGACGACAGTGAAAGGCGAGGAGGCGGCCAGGCCCCCGCATCGCTGGAGGAAGCCTGGCTCTAGCGGTGCAGGGGCCCAGCATTGGAGATCCAGCGGCTTCGAGACAGGCTGGGGCCCCATCAGCACCGCTGCTCGTCTGATGTGGGACCGGACGGAAGTGACATTACTTCCAGTCCGGCAGCAGAGGAGGCCAGTTGTTCAGGCACCAGGAGCAGGTAAGAGGAGCTGGGAGGGAGAGAGAGAGGGGGATGAAGCCCTGACCAGCCCATCTGAGACCCCTGCAGAGCCCACCATAGAGAGTAAGCATCACAAATGGTATATTGCGCTGCATAATGTACCATCAGCTATAGAAGAATACAAATCCAGGCAATACATTATACACTGTATGTAGAACGTATTGCTAGGATGTGTTGTATTCCTCTATAGCTGGTGGTATTCTGCATTGCGCTGTATAATGTATTATTGCTGGGATATGTAGTGCTCTATAGTTGGTGGTATTCTGCATTGATTGCTATATAATTTTACCCTTTCCATTTCACTTTATTGCACACCACATGACTGTTGTGACTGGCTCAGTGTTCTCTGTACAGCACTGCACTATATTCCAGAGCTATATACATGTATAATAATAGTGTGTGACTGTGGAGGGACATTAGAGTGTAAGCTCCTCTGTACAGAGACTGGTGTAACTGGCTCAGTGTTCTCTGTACAGCACTGTCAGAGCTATATAAAATGTATTATTATTATTATTATACAGGATTTATATAGCGGCAACAGTTTGAGCAGCGCTTTACAATATAAGGAAGACATTACAATCACAATACAATTCAAGACAAGATGGTAAGGAGGGCCCTGCCTGTGAGGGCTTACAATCTAAAAGGGAGGTGAAAGTGATACATGAGGAGGTTATCCACATAAATGTAGAATAAAAACAGTGTGACTTGCTCAGTGTGGCGGCGGTGCGGGGGAAGGTGGGGGGCCCAGTCAAAAGCCATGTAAGGGGTCCCAAAATTTCTGATGGCTGCCCTGGCTGTGCAATAGCGTCCGTTAAACGCTAAACTATGAAGTGAACAGACCCTGGTTATCAACTGTCCCCTGATTGTGTGCTATATTTAATAAGGTAACTTTTGCGCTCAGTGTCCCAGAAATATGTACTCTTTCCAAACTATATTTATCCCTAATTTACTTTTTTTTTCAGGTGTGTTCAACTCACTTAACAGTTTCAAGAATGATACAATTAGTTTAAATCAAGCAGAGGTAATTGAACCAAATTTTAAATTTATTAGAACATTCTTTCTTTCTTAACGTGTATACAAAGCCTAAAAATTATCTTCTCCTTGTTTCATTCTAATTTGTAAATATACAATTGATAGCAGTTTGTTATATCTGTTCAAGTGCATGTACTGTATATGCTTGTTGATCTTCTCAGAAATTCAGAACTGTCTTGTATCTTGTACACCTTTTCTGTGTTATCTCAAAAAGACTGGGTGTGGTGGGTCTGTTTGGGAGGGCTGACAACACTCCGTTCACAGAAATGTGAGTTGTGTGTTGTCATCCCACAACAGTACTTGTAGCTGAGTGCATTTCTGGCATCACAGGTATTTTTCTGTTCTTGTAGGGTCTTTACAGTGATAAAACCTTTGGAGATGTGCTGCGTATTTTAAAACATTTGTGCTGACATACACTTTAAATTAAAATTGAAAGGAATAACTTACCTCACTGAATAGTAAAATTGTCTAACTGGCATAGCGCTTTTCAGGTACACATCTAAAAACCTGTTTGCAATATGCAATTGAAACTTAGCTATTGAACATATGCAGCCTACATCTAACATTTGCTAATGGTCCCCTTTAGCAGTGGCGTTCAATTGGGAATAATATGACAGGACCAGTGGTGGACCTAAGGAACAAAGGGCCCTGGTGCAAGATTTTTTTCTCAGGGCCCCCCTTCCTGCTCCCAAGGGGGTGCCGAAACTGGACCTCCCTGTCCCCCTAACCCCCCCAGCTCTCTCTGCACTAAAGGAGCTTACTCTAATGTCCCCCCATAGTCAGACACTATTATTTGACATTCATATAGCTCTCTTATATACCGTAGTGCTGTACATAAAACACTGAGCCAGTCACATCAGTCTCTGTACAGAGGAGCTTACACTCTAATGTAGAATGTCATCTGTAGAGGACTACAAATCCCAGCAATACATTATAAAGCACTGCAGAATAATAGTATATGAATTTGGTACATACTGTACTCTGTTCTGCCTCTCTGCTCTGGAATGCCGGCCTGATGTCTTGTGCAGAGGGCCTCAGGAGGGGTGTGGAGGGCCTCAGGAGGGGTACAGAGGGTCTCAGGAGGGGGGAGATGTTCGGGTGGCAAAAGCGCTGTAAGCAGGTGCCAAGTGGTTCCACAGAAGGCTGCTGCGCAGGACCTAACCCAGCAGAATCCATGTGAATTTTTTTATTTCTGAGCTGCAGAGGTCAGTTGTAAGGCAGAGTACAGAGGTCAGCGGTGTGACGCAGAGTGCAGAGGTCATCAGTGTGCAGATGTCAGGGGTGTGGTGCAGAAGTCAGGGTGTGATGCAGAGGTCAGGATGTGATGCAGAAAGAACAAGATGTGATTCAGGTGCTCTGCCCTCTTTCTCTTCAGGTGGTGGAGGGGAAGGGGGGTGCAGCCATGTTTCCTGCATTTACTAAGTTGAAGCCCCAGCAGACTCCTTGTGTCTTCTCCCCAGGACCCGCTCTCCTGTAGTGTACAGCCAGCCAACGGTGGTGCTGTAGTCTTCCTCTTATAGGGGGAAGACTGCAGCACCACCATTGGCCGGCTGTAGAAGCTGCACTTCAGCTGCTATAGCAGCCAAAGTGGGCGGAGGAAGCTGCAGGTGGCCGCCATGCAGCCCGATTACTGAAGCGAGGACCTAGTAGTGACAGCTGAACAGATTGTTCTTCTCCTTGGCCACTCTGTGACTGCAGCGGCTGAGGAGGAGAAGAAGCCACCTGCCAACCGCCTTGGGCCCCGGGGCAGCCGCATCGGCTGCACTGCTGGTAGTTCCGCCCCTGGACAGGACTGCTACTAATTAGTGTTTATATTTAGTGAGAGCATACACTTGTAGGTATAAGGGAGTGGGACAGTATGTTTGTGGTAGTTTATAACTCAGCAGTATGTAGAACTGCTGAATTTCACATTTAGTCTTTTTTTTTTTCTTTTTACATTTACTAGAAACACAAAGTACAGTTTATAGCTCCCTAAAAAAAACTGCAATTACAAAAAATACAAATAGCTCTTTCTTCACTCGCACATTTAAACTGTGAGCGCAGCATTAAAACGGTATATGGGTTTCCCCACACCTCTTCTCCACACAAACCTCCAGCACAGACCCAACTCATTTCAATTTTAAAGAAAACTTATATTTAAGTGCACTATATTATTATGCTCCCGCAGTGGCATTGTAATTATAGACTGGCCCCTAGAATATTTTTTTTATCAGTATTTTTTTCTATAGCATATATAACAAAAGTAGGAAAAAAAATGTAAACATAAATGTTTTCTTTCCTTTTTAGTTCATCAGCCTAGCAATGAACATCTAAATGGAAACATGGATGAGCAGCATACTTGAAAAATGCCTAATGCTATATGTGTCCTGCACTCCAGTCATTTATATAGGAATGGGTCAATATGGGAAATTACTAATTCTGTACACATTAATAATATGCTTTTATTCACCTATTACAAATACATATTTGCTTCAAAGTTATAACATTTCTGTAACCCATTGGTAATAAACAATGATGGCATAAACAGCAGCATCCTAGTATTTGTTTTGTTCTTTTGTTCTGTTTCAATGTTTTTCTTGTTTTGACCACAAATAAAACATGTAAAGCTTCCATTGCATATCATATCATATGCAGTATATGCTGCTTTTCATTAGTAACATTTAAGGAGTATTTTGCTTCAAATCGTCTTCTGATTTAGCCGGTTTAAGTTATCCTCTCATTTGCCCCATTCAGCTACATGTCTATCATGCTGAAGTAGAGGTCATTTGTGAGTACAGCACAGAAATGAGCTTGGGACTGCTGGGACAGCAAAGGCAAATATGTTTGTCAGGGTTTTCAACACTTCTTTGTAATTAAAGTAGTATTAAATGCTTCCAGATTATTTCTATATTGTACTCCAAGTTGTCAGGTCAAGAGCAGTTCAGATGTGCCAGAAGACTGGCTGGTTCGTGGGGTGCACCAGTGCAGATGTAGCAGAAGCAGGCCAAGACAGCTGAGTTGCAAAAATGAGTGTCGGTGGGGTTAGGCAAAGCGTAGTATAGACAAGCCAGGTCAAACACGTGTAGAACAGCCGCCCATTAAAAACATCAGACACTTTCGTGTCCTGTGCTCCACGTGTAGCGTCAGATAGACCCGCCCCAACAACAACAAGTCACATGACTAGCGATGGGACCTTTTTCACAGAAACGTATTTCAGTGCAAAGGACAAAGTTTTCCTAGCAAATGGGAAAAGTATTACTGCAGAAGGTAATGGTCAAGGATTCTTGAACTGCATCACACCCTTAAGGGGACAAGCAGAGTATCCTCGTAAAAAATGTACCGTATGTCCCAGACCTAGTGGGAAGTCTTCCATCAGTGAAAACCCTTGTGAAAAACGGTCTCCCAGTTCATGTCCAAAGTGAGGAATGTACAATTTGAAACAATAAGCAAATCCATGCAAAAGTAAAAGTAGGTGAACGGCTATACAGACTCACCACAGATGAACAAATCAAGACAGCCACTCATAAGCCACACAACAAATGTCTTAATCTATGGCACAGTCAACTAGGGCACCGAATTCCAGAAGCCATAAAAGACATTATAAAGAGAGGCTTATACGAAGATATAACCGTACTGCCCTGCCAAATGCTTATAACATGCAAATGTTGTATGGAAGCAAAGGCCACAAGTACCCCATGTTCACAGGCCACCCAAAGAAAGACAACCCACCCTATGGAGCTCATACACAGCGACGTGTGCGGACCAAATGAAAACTCGCACATCAGGCGAGAACAGATATCTACTGACTTTCATTGATGATTATTCCAGGTACACAACAACTTCTTTGATGAAGCACAAGAATGAAACATCATAAAAAGTTGGAGTTTGTAGCCATGTCCAGCAACAAATTCCAACAGAAACCAGAATTTAAAGCAGAGGCGTCTCTTTAATTAGGCAAATTAGGCAGTCGCCTTAGGCCTCTCACTCCAGAGGGCCTCGTGGCCACCTAATTTGCCCTGTCGGCAAATTAGCTCGAAGCCAGGTAACGTTATTGGGGGAAATAAAATGGGAAAACTTATTTCAAAACCTAAACACAGACCAGATGTGGGATTGTTTTAAAAACACAGTACATACTGCTACTTCAAAGTGTATACCTTTAGGGAGCAAAAATAAAAGATCAAAGACTAAACCAATATGGTTTAATAAAACTGTAAAACAACACGTCAAGGACAAGAGAGCGACATTTATAAAATATAAGACGGAAGGGACGGCATTGGCGTTCCTTAAATACAAAGAATGTAACAAAAAATGCAAACTAGAAATCCGGGCAGCTAAAACTGAGTGCGAAAAGCATATCGCCGCAGATAGTAAAAAGAACCCCAAAACATTTTACCAATATATTAACAGTAAAAAGGTGAGAAAGGAGCAGATAGGCCCAATAAAGGATGGAAGCGGGAAGCTAGTCACAAACGACAAGGAGAGGGCCGAGGCGCTGAACGCTTTTTTCTCCTCAGTATACACTCGGGAGGGAAACGGGTTTGAAAGGTAGGAATAACTTATGCAACTGTATTCATTCATACAGGATACACCAATGCAGTTTTATCTGTGAGCCTGCTTGTTAGTCTTGGCATGCTATTTGCACAAAGTTCATGGGCAATCTACTTTGCAAATATACTTACGGTTTGGCATGCTGACAATCAGGAGTGTTTTTGTAGAGAAATAGCAGAGGATTCCTTGCTGGGAGAGTGAGTTCAAGATTTCTCAGGAGTGATCATGCCAGCTGAATGAGATCAGATGTAGGCTCTTGATGGGGCTCTCTCTATTGAATCCAGAGAGGCTTTGTGGTAGGTAAGGTAGTGTGCACAGCTCCGATTGCCAGGAGTGGAACTGGCAGACTAACCTTTGTGCATGCACGTTGCTGGAGGCCTCCCAGGAATCATCCTGGGGTCCATAGGACTTCCACCTAATCAGGTACTGCAGCTGATTTCGAAACCATCGGGAATCCAGGATCTTCTCCACCTCAAATTCCTCCTGTCCCTGCACAGAAAGAGGAGGTCCCGCGAGAGGCAGCCGATCAGGGAAAGGATTAGGCTTGTAGGGTTTGAGCAGGGAGGCATGAAAGGTAGGATGCACTCTTCAGTCCCCGGGTAAGGTGAGACGAACCGCATTTGGGTTAATCACCCCCTCCACTGGGTAAGGGCCTATGAAGACAATTCCTCCATTCCTGACAGTGCATCTGCCTTGCCATTTTTTGAACTGGGACGGTAGGTGATGATGAAATCAAACCTAGAGAAGAACAGGCTCCATCTGACTTGTCTGGACGACAGAGTTTTACATGTCTTCAGGAATTGGAGGTTTTGATGGTCGGAATATACCAGCAAAGGCTGTTGGGTTCCTTCTAATAGGTACCGCCAGTT